ATTCTGCTGCAGAGAAAACATGTGTCTGTTTTCTATACCAGGGCAGTCTGTTCCAGGTTTTTATTTTCTCAAGTGGATGTAGTCTGACATGAAGTCATTCCCTGTCAGTACCAGTTGGAACATTCCTCCAGGTTGGAATCTTTCTTCCTTATCAATACAGAGATTCTCCCAAAGTGTTTGCATTGATAGATGATTTTTACTTAGAACTATTGACAGCTCTTTTATCTGAAATTCTCTCAGCTCCCAACTCATCATTAATAATTTTATTTAATGTCCTTCCCTTTAAGCAATAATTTATGAAGGTGAACTTTTTCTACTGCAACTAATATAATAGCTTTGTGTTTATATATTTGGAAAGAGAGAGAGAGAGAGAGAGAGAGAGAGAGAGAGAGAGAGAGATAGGACAGGAAGAATGATAGGGAGAGAGACACATGGAGAAGCTGCTCCTGGGACTTTCAGCATTTTGGCAGGCAGGCAGGACAATGGCAGTCATCATCTTGAGCTTTTCATGGATTATGTGGCACAATGGATTTGGGGTTTCTCCTTCCATCCAAGATCTTTGGAAACCACCTAACCCCTTTCTTGTGGCTCCCCATCAAGAGCTTCCTTGGACTCCTGGCAAACTTTCAGCCTCAGAGACCGTGCTCTGTGCAGCTTGTTTGGCTGGACATCTACCCATGAGGAGTGAGTGAGTTTTGGAGTTTGAGCTGGGAGTCTGTTATTTAAAATCCTCCCCTCTTTGAACATCACACCAACTAAAGATCTTTGGACAAACTAAGAGTATGCTTTCTTTGCGTGTGTGCGCAAAGATAACCGAACCCTTACAGCAGGCAAAATGGTTGTTTTTCCCTTAATAATTTGGGGTCCCAGGATACCTCTCAGTTTCGCCATTTCAGTTTGGGTCCTTGACCAGAAATGAGCCTCTGGCTTACATGGTTTGGCCAGATAAAGAGAGCTCCCAAACATCTCCCAATCACAGATGTCACTTAAGGACTTACAGACCTCGCCAGAAGGGTATTCATTTGTTTATTTTCCTCTAGCCTCTCTGCTTTTCTATTTAAATCTTTCTTCTACAGCTTGTCTTGCAGTTCCAGAACTCCCAACCCTTTTCTCCCCCTGATTTCCAAGAGATTTTTTTAATCCTTAATTATGCAGAGAATTTTATCTCTTCATCATCACTAGCAATCCAATTCCTACTAGGCTCTAGGGCCTACATCTAGCTAACTAGATGATCTTGAACAAAAAAGCCAAAATTTTTGCAGCTGCCCTGTGTTATAGAAGCAAATTTGAGTTGTCTTTTTTATTAGTAATTTTTTTTTCCTGTTACAAATGTATTGCAGCCAAAGGGAATAACAGAGGGAGGGTTTTGGCAGAGGGAGAGATAGGTTCGGGATAGACAGATATAAAATTTCAGAAGATTTTGAGGGTGTTGGGCTTTTGCCTAGAGCAGTGGGAAAGAAGAATAAGAGATTAAGGAAGTTTTCAGCTAGAGGTGGGTAAGATTTCTATTTGTGGTTTGGAGGGAGGAAGATATGGGAAAAAGAGAGGACAATTTACATATATAGAGTTCTAGAAATGCTTAAATACAGAAACAGAAAAGAGAACCTACCTAATTTCAGCATTTAAAATAGCACATTTGGGTGGAGACAACACTAATTATCCCCACATATTTTGGAAGAGCCATGTTGTTTGATGTTCCATGTAGAAAAGAGGCCAGAAGTTTCATTCATATGTCCAATAAAAGCAAATTCTACCACGTGCCTTCCAACATTATTGACTAGTGTCTTAGGTCACACTAACAATTATACTGTCTTCAATAATACAGTCGTCTACGAAATTTATCATAAAGCATTTCTATCATTGCGATGAAGAATTTCAACCAGTGTGATGAAATCTATTGGTAAGACAAAAACTAATGTTCTTTTTTGCTATGATAAATTTTAGTTAGTCATATTAAGACACATTCAGGTTTTACTTCTATCAAATGAATAATCTTTACAGTTTTTCTGGTAATTCAAGGAGAAACTATATATTTCTTTTTGATGGATGTTCCTTTCTCCCTTCCTTTATTAGATGTTCTTAAGAGAACATATGTAGATTAATAAACAAAAGTTAGTGACTAAGGAGGCCCAGTGAGTAGAGGTAATGATATGCTACAACATAATAATTGTGTGGAATCAAAGGTGGGAAGCCTCAGAAACTCCCTCTTCTCCTAACCTGCTCACCTCATCTAATTTTCCCTGAGGGATGGAGAGTAAACAAAGTTACAGCAATGATAATAGTTCTGAGATCACAAATCATCCAACTGTGTAGATGCCCCCAACCTATGGGGAGTAATGTCAAGGAAGAAGACCACCCATCTAATGCTCACCATCAGGAAGGGGTTCACAAAGCACAGGTTTTATCTCCCCTGAAAGTCCTAGGCAAGCAAGCTTTGCTGCACTGCTGTAGAAAAGTCAAGTATTTGTAAAAAAGTCAAGTATTTGCAGCACAACTAATTCCAAGAGAAAGTTCTGGTAGACAACCTTTAAAAAGTTGGGTTTTTTTTTTTTGTTTTTTTTTGTTTTTTTTTAAGTATTCTGATCATGCCAGACAAAATTCATCACTTACCCAGGGAGGGCAAAATATGGTGGGTGTCAGAATCGCTGGCCTTTCCCTAGAGACTGCCACTGCCAAATCTCCAGACACTCCCTTCCTGGCACCGTGACAACCCTGGGTTATTTCTCCAAGACAGTCTGTTGTGGAGGTTGAGGGCTCAGCTGCTTTGTTGGGAAAATAAGGCAACAACCTGAGGCCTCATTTCCTCAGCTGGAAAACAGGGGCCTTGGTGGGGATTTCTGGAAGATCCTCTTCAATCCTTACCTTTTCCCAAAGCCAGCAAAAGGAAAAGTTTTGAAAGTGAATGTTTTCATTTATAAAATTTTGGAATACAAAGAACAAGTGATGAGGCAATTTGGTGACTAATTTGTTCATCGTAGACAGCCAAATGGGATAATTAGGTCCCAAAGTGGGTTTTTTTGGGACTAATTTTCCTGTTTGGCTGTCTAACAATATCACAATAACCGTTAATTGCCAATTTTTTCTCTCATTTTTCTTTAAGTTTAACTAAATTGCTCCAATGGATAAAACATTTGCTACTATTGCACCTCACCTGTGCCAACACTGCTGTTCAGATCATGCCCTTATAGTAGCTGCTAGGGACACATGGAGGTGGAAGGGAAGAGAATTTCCACTGTAGGAAGTAGTCAGAGCCTGTGGCTAAATGTCCAGCTCCAGACCCTTCAGTGCAATGGTTTTGTTTATAGGGAGGGATGAGAGGCACCCCAAAACCCTCAAACTCGCCCAAACCTGCAGGTTCTGCCATCTGCTGTATTAAGACAAACATACTCTAATGCATATGACCTTTAATGGAAAGGGACTTTAATACAGTGAGTGTGCAAGACAAGGGAAAGAATATAGTATCCAAATCAAGCACCCAAAGTTACCCATCCCATTGTGGGTAAATGCCCAGCCTAACAGGGTTGGCCCAAAGCAGGGCCTCTGAGGCCCAAAAGCCTGCTACAAGTCTAAGGCACCTCCTGGTGGGAACCCATAGGAATGGGGCAGAAATGGCCATACAAGTATGGAAGGAAAAGAGCAAAATCAAAACAAAGATAAACGCTGCCATTGTTAACCTCCCCCAAGGTCTCTCACCGGTCCAAGACCAAGAAGCAGGTGCAGTTTCTTAGCATGTCTCTCTGCTCCTCCAGGAAGAGGAGGCCTCTTCCAGGTCTCCCTGTCTCCCATCCTCCTTCCTTCTACAGTCTCCTCTCTAGCTTCTTCCTGCTCCCTCCTCAGCTCCACCCTTCCTTGCTTGGGGCTGGGAACCTGGAACTTCCCCATTCCCTGGGGGCCACCTTATTACAGTTTCTCAGAGTGACCTTTAGAACTACAACATCAGCTTCCCGTGGAGACACCTCCTTCCCCCACCAACTGGCACCAGTCAACCATTCTCATTCTTTTCTACATTTGAAGTCATTTGTGGAGCTTTATAAATACTGATGCTTGCTTGGTTCTTCCCACCTCCTCTAGCCATTGTGATTTAATTAACATATAATGAGGCTGGGTGTTAGGATATGTGAAAGTTCCCTGGGTGATTCCAATGTGGAATAAAGCATTGGCACCCCTGCATTGGTCACTGTCATACTACAATAAAAAAATATGCTGGTTACTCTTTTGCACAGTTTATTTCTGGCAGTGGTTGGACCTCAAGCCTTGTGATCAAGACCAAAGGCCAAATTGCACAGACCAGCTTCTTCATCTTGCTCCATCTCTTTCTGTTTGAGGTCTGGCCAATTAATTTGCTTCAGTTTCAGTCTTCTCAATTATAGGATGAAGAAAAACATATCTATCTCACATAATTGTTTTGAGGATTAGATGAGTTTCAAAGTTTGGGGAAGTGCTTTACAGAGTCTGGTACATTCCAGCCACCAATAAATATATTTTATTAGAATTTTGAATCTGTGTTTCTTGCTTATAAGAAAAAGTCACCCAAGAAAGTCACCATAGACCTTTTAAAAAAATTACTATCTAAAGATTACATAATGAACATATATTCCTTTTTCAGTTACAAATTAGTTTTTTTTTTTTTAAATACCTTTCTTTCACTGCTGAGACCTACATCATTCTCCTTATTTCTCCTTCATTTCTTTAGCTGTGTAAAATGGGAGTGATTTTTGTGATAGTCTTGCACATCAGCAATTACGAACTAGCATTTTTTTGATTATCTTCACAGCATTGTTTACAAATCAAAGTCAGCAGGAGAAAATGAACAGAAAATTTAAGGAATTTTATGAATCTCCTAGGTGATAGCTGGATACTTTTCTTGAATTCATAATGCCTTGTTGGACTTCTGCTCAGATACGCAACTATAGGCCCATGGTGATGACACAATGGAACCTGACATGTCATTTAACTGTATGGTAAATGTCATAAATGTCACACAGTGAGGGAGCCGGCGATCTTGGCCAGGCTCATGTCTCATGCCCAAGAACATGAAGGACACGGACCAGGAGGAATGCGTTTAGGAGGTTTTTTTAAGCGATAGGAAAGCTCCCTGCAACAGGAAGGGAGCCCAAACAGGTTGCAGGTGAAGCGTTTGTCTAGGGTTTTTATGCTGGGGCGGGGTTTGGGGGGGGTCTGAGGAAATTAGCTGCTGGGGAATTTTCCATGCTGGTTTGCTGTGTCTGCAGAGCTGTGAAAGCAAACCGCGCCGCTGCAGCCACGGGCCGAGGTATCCACATGCCGAGGTATCCACATCTTCCTGACTACAAGCCCCACTCAGTCCCTTCTCAGAATTTGACACTTTTTACTTGAGTGGGGCCCTTGGCCCTGCCTGCCTATGTAAATCTACCTAATAACTACCCTGTGTATGGTGGTTGATGATGGTATCGCTGATCACCACCAGCGGGTCTAACTCTAAAATCATCAGCACAATGCAGTCATCTTACTCTATGGAAAATTGTAAAATTTTTCCACCTGTTATTTTCTTTTGATTTTTAAAAATTATTAAGCTAATGTAAAAGTGAAATCGCATGGGCCTCCCTGGTGGTGCAAGGGGTTAAGACGCAACCTTTGAAGCCATCAGCAGCCACTACAGCACGAGTTTTTTCCCCAGCCAGGGAGCTACCCACATGGCGCGATGACCTCTCCTGACTCCCCCTCTGCTCCCCTCAGCAGTGTATTTCAGTCAATCTGCCTGTTCTGTTCCTCCTCTGTCTCTGATGAATCCTCTCACCACCCCCGCACCTCTGACTTGTACCCCAGTTCTTCCATGCATAAATAAATAATATAAATCTTTAAAAAAAATGAAATCAGGGCTTCCCTGGTGGTGCAGGCAGTTGAGCACCGCACCCTGAAGCTGTCTTCAACCTCTGCAGTGCCAGTTCGATCCCTGCCGGCCGGCGAGAATCCCATATGGCTCAGCAGACATCTCCGGTCTCACCCGCTCCTCCCCTCAGCAGTGTATTTCATCAGTCTGCCTGTTCTGTTCCCTGCTGTGTCTCTGGTGAATCCTCTTACCCTCTCGTGCATCTGGCCTGTACCCTGGTTCTTGTATATATAAATAAATCTTTAAAAAAAATGAAATCACATATGCTAAGCCTACCTTGATCAAAAACAGTTTTGGGCTTGCAAGGCAAAGGTAGAGAGATAGGTGTGCCGATTTGGAAAGGGGTGAAAGGAGTTTTGGCAAATCTTGTACCAAAGTCTAGTCTACAAAGCATCCTCACTGGGGGGCCTGAGTGTTGAACCAGTGCTGAAATGCCACTCCCTGGCCCTGTTGGATGGGGCTCTCCTACTAGCCACTGATCTGGTTGTATGAAGCTTGATAAGAGATAGAACAAATCCTTGAGTAAATAAATGTGAAACAGATTTTGCACTTAGTTCAAAACATGAGGCCATTTACATAATGAACTACATCCGATTGCTTTTGTCAGAAGGAGTCAGTGACAGTAAAACATTTTACACTGAGCCCCTTCTGCTTTCAAATTCTTCCACAGAAGGTTTCTTAAATGTCCTCAGCAGCCTGCATTAGCACAGCCACCATTGTTAGGAAAAGTCCTTTGTGCAGCTAATTTATCTAATTCTCCTATTCTGTATCCACAGTATCTCGCTATGCAGCTGGACACAGTTCTCTGTATATTATGCATACTTATGCTTGAAGACAATTGCAGAATTTTTCCCCAGGATGAATCACTTTTGCTTCTCCAGGAGAAATCCTTTCATCATCTTTTGGGTCTCCCCTGAATTGTCTTCAAACTTTGTACATTTGTCTCAAGCTATAAGTCCAATATTGAATAAAATAATTTGGGGAGATTTCATATTACCACAAAGGAAAGGCAGTTGTTTAGGGAAATAGAACGAGTATTGATTTTTCATAGCACTTCAGAGTTTTACAAAGAACTTCCCTGGCTTTATATTGGCATTGAGCTTGTGCTGCTGTGTCATCCTCCTAGACTCTGATGGTTGATATGGGTCTATTCTGAGTCAGGTTCAGACCAGGAAGGCTCAGAAATCCTGTTTGTGGTCAGTTTGAAGTTCAAGGTTGTTCTGAGGCTGCACCAGAAGTTCATATTTCTTCATGCTTCCCTTGAATCAGAAATGATCTTGACGATAGAATAAATCACAGGTTTGGATCTGGATCAGCACAGTCTGGATCAGCACAGTCCAACAGAATTTTCCATGACAATGAGATGTTATATAGCTGTCCACAGTGATAGCTGCACAGCACATATGGTTATTAAGTACTGGAAATGTACATATCGTTAGTGCAACTGAGGCACAGAAAAGGTTTACTTTTATTTAGCTACTTAAATTAAAATATAAATAGCTACTGTGGCCAGTGGCACAAGCTCTGGACTATCCATCCCTAAGTCTGGGTCAAAGCTGGACTGGTCAATGAGATAAGAGACCTGCTTTGGGAGACCTTCATATTTTAGGAAAAATTTTATGGCTGAAAAACATCTTAGTGAAATCCCAGTGTGTTTGTCCATCATATTCCTTTTTATGCATCTTAGTGTTATTTGATAAAATACATTTTTCCTCAATCATTTTAGAACTATGTGACTAATTTATGGTTGTTCTGCAGAAATAGATTAATAGATACTTAGCTTTTTGTCTGGAACATCTGATATGTCCTCAAGTAAATTTATGTGGGGGCAACAACAAAAATATGGGTACCTAAATGATGAATAAGCTTGTTTTTTTTGCAAAGAAGTCAAGTCTTAATAGAGGTTGATTTCTAACTACTGCAATGCAGACAAATACTGTGAAGCCATAAAGAGGGTAGTGTTTCATTTATGCATGATGCACTTATTGGCATAAGCAGGGTATATTAAAGGATATACATATTATGAAACCTGACTAGTTCAGCTCCACTTCTGCCATATATTTGGGTTTTATTTCTTGCTGAGTTTAGATTTTAAAACATCATAAAAAGCCAGAAGCAGTTAAGAGATCAGCGAAGAAGTGAATGGGGAGTCACAGCTTCTGTTCTTACAGATAAAAAAACTCCCCGCATTGTAAATTTGGAGAGAGCTTTGGCCTTAGGGGCCGTTCCTCACCCACTTAGGGGCCTTTTATCATCACAAATAAATATAGTTTTATTTCTTTCTAAAAGTAAGCCTTTTTTATTTATAAGTATGTTTGTTGGCTTTATTATTGCTTCCTTCCTCTCATCTTTTCTTTTTTACAGTTCTGTTTTTTCCCTTGGAGCAAACTTAAGTTTGCAACTCCTGTTCCTTTCTTCAATTTTAGCTGACAATTTTGCTTTTGATTTTGCTGAGAAAACAGAAGTTGTTAAGAAAAGCTCTTCTTGGGCCTCCCCCGTGGCGCAGCGGTTGAGCACTGGGTTGCGAAGCTGCCCACAGCCTCTGCTGTGCCGGTTCGATCCCCGGCTGCTCCCCGGCCACCTGAGGAGGGTCCCACATGGCGCGCAGACTTCTCCTGCCGCCCGCTGCTCCCCTCAGCAGTGTACTTCGGTCCTTCTGCCTGCTCTGCTCCCTGCTCTGGCTCTGGTGAATTCTCTCACCCTCCTGCGCTTCTGACTGTACCCAGAGCTTGTATAAATAAATAAATAAATAAATAAATAAATAAATAAATAAATAAATCTTTTGAAATAAATAAATAAATAGACTCATTAAAAAAAAAAGAAAGTAGTATTAAAAAAAAAGAAAAGCTCTTGTCTCTTTATCATCAAGTCTAGTAAACTACTTGGATTTCTACCCATTATACAATTCTTGTTCTCTCGATATTATGGAGACCTATTGATGCCAGGCTAAGTCTTCTTACACTCACCAGAACCATTTCTATTTGACTGTTGAGGAGTGTTAAGTCTGAACTTACTGCTTTCCCATCACTCAGTTTGCCTTTTCAAGCAGATTTTTCACATTCCCATTTATACATTGCTTTAATATCATTTCTTCAAACAACAATCACAACAGAGCTCCTTAATTCCACCATCTCCAACTACTGACTCAATCACCTCTTCATTTTACAGCAGAACTTCACAAAATAGTTCTCCATGGGTCGGCCTCCTCACCCTCATTTCTCATATTTATGGGAGAAATTTTTTTTTGAAAAAAATTGTGTTCCTTTACTTTTTGGTACTTTTTCCTTCAAAAACAAATAGTACAGACCACTTGGAGTTTCTTAATCTCAGACTGATCTCTATGATTTTTAAATTTCATTGTCTCTGTGTTCTGGGTTAGGAGCAAAATTCTCAATACCATCTATTAATTTGCTAGCATCTCTGCAATCTAGCGTTTTCCCCAGATCTCAAGGTTTTCATTTCCATTGTTATATTGTTTTTATTTCTGAGATTTTTTTAACTTACTATTTTATAGTTACTCCATTTATTTTATTTGGCTCTATTTTTATTACAAAATTTTTATACTACATATATTACCTACATAAAAAAACAAATGTTTTAAATTAGTATATGATAAATAAAGAGTTAGCTTTACCTCAGACTGATATATGGCTGTAACATTGCATCAGAGAATGTCTCCTATTTACTTGGTGTCTTTCAACCTATTCATTCCGTAAGAACAGTTTTGAAATCCTCAGAAACTTAGATGTTTTTAGTAATATGGCACTTTCTATTCCAAGTCTTTCTACTATAGTCATTGTATAGTTTATCTTGCAAACTAAAATTTTCATAAGAGTTAGAAAATGGAATTTGTCACATTAATTGAGCAAACATTTTCCAATTCAATTTATACATGACAATGTTTCTTAGAATGTTTTATGCTCACATCTTGCAAATTTTTGCTGATGTCAAGTTTATTCAGATATAGCTTAATTCTCTGATTTTCAGTTCTGTCCACTTACAACATCACTTTATTTTGTAATCATTATTTAAAAATGGCAAATGACCATTTTACTTATTACACACCTATCTCTCCCTTTTTAAGTAACCAGATTAAAACTACATTCAAGTAGTAGAATTGTGCTGCCTCCCTTGAAGATACCAGCTTTTGGATCTAAATTTGACAATGTTCAGATAATAAGGACATTATCAAACAATAAAAATAGTGTAGTAAATTTGCTTCCTCAAAGTTGAGAGGTTGTAGCTTGAGAAAACCCTCTTAATCCCGGGGTTCCTGGATAGTATTTCACTACTCAAATAAAAAGAGTTGAGAATATTGTTTGTTCCCTCTTCGGTTTTGCTGCCAAGTGTCTGATCTACCCTTTCTTAAGAAAGTGACGTGAAACCTAATACAGCCTGGGGTATCTAGTTATTTTTGCCTCAAAAGCTGTTCAACTCTCTAGGGTCTTTGAAGACATTACATGGATTCTGAAATGCAAAGAAACTAGAGAGAGATATTTCAGTGTTTGGTCATTGTTCAGGTTACTGAACACCTGAAAACCCAAATTTCCTGCTGATAGCAATAGTGATCAACAACTACTATTTCTGATAACTTCCTACAAAAATTCCTAAGATCCAAAGGTTATACATAATAACATGTATGTTTATATGTAAGGTTTTATATATATATGATAAAAAAGAGAATTTATTTCTACCTTTTGGATTTCATATGAGAACCACAGTGAAAGCCTAAAACACAAATGATCATGTTAGTAAATGATACTCAGCAAAATGGAAGAGTATGTGTATCGTTGCCCCTATATATTATTCAATGATCCTTTCATTAATTATTCAACTTTCTTTGCTCTTTGAGATTTACTCAAAACCATCCCAGTAAAGTAAAAGTATGTTACAAAAATCACTGTCATACAGAGATTTGGTTAATAATTTAAGTAGTTGATTAGGTGCCTTAAAAGTCAATATTTTCTAGAAATTTTGTATTAAGGAAGGGAGAAAAAAATCAGAGTCTGTGTCATGATAAATTGCTAGTTTAGTCTCTGACGTTTCACAGCAGATTTCTTAATTCACCAACTTCACTATTAGTTGTCACAAAGTCATTAATGAATGCCAATAGCAAATCTACATCAACAGTAATGAAATAACACATTTATATCATGTAAGTGCTGGTGTGTGAGGATAAATAAAGGAGACCAATTTTTAGCTGCTTTTTCTAT